TATATGTAACCTTCCCAGTATTCTACAGTCTCCAAGAGTTAAATATTAACAGTAAATGAGAAATTGCTTTTCTGTTAACACTTCCTTAGTGATCAGCCTTGTTTTTAAACATTTGTTTTGCTTTAGTACTGCATAAATGACTGAACTAATGGATCTGGTCTTCTTGTCTACCTTCTCCTTCTGGTTGGCTACTGCTTTGTCATTCTTTGGCTCCATTTTAAAGTGACAGCAATAGCAAGAAGTTCACTTATGTCACCACCCAGCATAAGTATATGCAACTGGGGAAAAGTTTTAATACTTATCCTTACTGTGAGGCATTGCTCTGAGCTACACTGTTCTGTTTGGCTGTTTCACTAAAACTTGGTGATGGGAGCCATCCATTCAGTGTGTTTTACAACCTACAGCACTGCTGTTGCACCGCTTCTGTGAATGTCACACACATTTCCTTATTCCTTCTCCAGGTTTATTCTGTTGCTGGAATTATATAACATCGCCTTGAAATAGAAAGGAATGATTATTAGCTTTCTCTCATGCAAATAAGGCATCAATGATGGATTTTGCAGGACCCCCACACCTCCATTAGCTGGTGTCTTCATCCTTATGCATGCCCAGCTTACCTCTTAGCCATGTGGTTAAGAGATAGTTAGTCTGGTCATATGAGTTTCTGTTTTAAGACACACACTATTTTAGAGCCTTTTTAGGTTCATAGCACAGGTGGGCATACTGTACAAAGGCATCTTGTAGACACAGCCTCCCTCATTATCATCATCCTATGCCAAATGACACATCTGTTACAAGCGATGGACCTGTGTGGATTCTTTATGGCCACCTAAATCCATAGTTTATATTAAGGTCCACTTTGGTGTTGGGCATTGTATCAGGTTGCACAAATGTCTAATGACATGTTTCTGCCATAATAGTATCATGCCGAGCATTTTCACTACCCCAACAATCATGTCTGCTTTTCCTGTCCTGCATGCACTGTTAGCCACTCAGTACTGCTACAGATTACCTTGCACAGTGGGGCAAAGAGAACCTCAGCGTTCACTCAGTGTTAGGCTTTTCCATAGAATATGGTTATTTTTTTTAATTGAACCTGCTAAGATATTTTATTACACATTTAATAATTATAGAATCATACATGTGAATTTTAGAAAACCCAGTGAAATACGGAGAAGAAAATAATATTTTCTATGAGATAAAATTCCACTATGTAATTTCCTTGCAAGTATAATCCATCTTGGGTACAATGTTACATATCCAACTGCATGGTTTTGTAGTTTATCATCAGAATTATTATTTTATTGAAATTGGTTAACAAGTGTCACCCAAGACCTTATCTATTTTTAGCTAGTAAGAAGGCATTTTCCAATTTTTAGTGTTAGTACAATGGATATCTACTTCTGAACATTTATCTCCATTTTTGTTGACTTTGTGCTTGTTTTGGAGACGGATTCTCACTGTATGGTCCAGGCTAACCTGAAGCTCTTGTTCCTCCTGTGTCTGCTTCTTTGGAGCTGAGATTACAGGCATCCATCATACCAGGCTATGTTTACTTCCATTTCCAGGCACATTTTAAAAGTAGACCCACTGGGTTCCTGACTCTGCTGAAGGTCATAGGTTGTTACAGGTGGCCACTGTGTTTCTAAGGACAGAGAAACTTTATTTACCCAGCATCTGCAGGTACAGAGTTCTAGGAGATGTGGTGTAGATGGGAAATGTAAAAGGGATGAAGCACACTTCCTAGGAAGTAAGAAAGGGTTACAAATCAAGGACTAAGGGAAATGTTGTATTCCTCAACAATGAAGGAAACATGCTGTGTTAGGGGTGAGTGTGAGGATGTCGGAAGAGGCTAGGGAGTCCTCAGATTGGCCTGAATCTCCTCTCCAGGTTTAAGGAGTGAGGATAGATCCAAGGACTATGAGGGACATGGTGAGGAGTTAGAATAACTGATATAGAAAATGTTTGGGAGTTCTTTATATTAAGAAGTATCTGGAAAATTTCCAAGCTCCATTGGGGACTCATGAATTATCAGACAGTCAGAGTAGTACCAGAGTGGGAAGTCCTTTGTGATTTTTCTCAGAGGTACTGGCACCTCCAATAGAAGAAAGATAAAGATGGGTAGGCTGATATGGGCTGGCACTTTGCAGAGTTGCTGTAAAGTTAGCAGAGGAACATGTTCTGAGCATTTATATTTGTGGCTCACATCCTGAGAACGTGGTGCTCAGGCTGCAGAGGTACTGGGTACAGGGGAAGGTCCCTGGTTGTCTCTTTATCTTGTAAGCTGGTCATGGGTCCATTTCATGAATTGAGGTTAAGAGCTGGTAACTTTGCAAACATGAGGAACCATTGCTATTAGAAGCCTTTTCTGTACATAATGAGCAAGAAGTAAAATGCCAACAGTGGTTCAAAATATTAGAGCAGATGGGTTGCTGCTAATCTGCTTCGTGTTTCCCTCAGAGGTCTGGTGGTGTTTCCTCCCTTGACGGTGATCTATAGCAAGAAAACACCCTATCTAAGCTCTGGGTTTTCCCAGGTCAAGTCTTACTCTAGTGGCTGCTGAAGACAAGGAATACTGGATTCATCTGACAGTACATCTTTGTATCCAAGAGACCATCTGTGCCCAAACTAGACCCAATAAAGTGGCCCCTCCTGAGTATTTGGGTCAAAAGTATAATAAAACCATAACCCTGCTTGACACACTTTATTGGATTTTATATAGAGTGGGTGTTACTATTTCTCCTTTTTCTTTGCAGTGACATTATCTGTGGTGCTGGTGGCAGAGTGTTAGGCATTGCTTTCTGAAGTCACATGAAGTTTGTTTTGGGCATCAAGTCCAAGTTGACTCTACAAATACTGAAAAAAGAAACCTTTTCATTTGTCTTTTTTTTTTTTTTTTTTTTTTTTGTGCTCAAGATAATGCTAATACAAAACTGTATTTGATTAACCTCTTGAAATGAATTAGTCAAATGTGCCCTGAATGACTGCACCAATAAATTAGATAAAAATTAATTGTGGGAGTCAATAAGCTTGTGAAATCACTGAAGTTCATGCGGATAGCTTGCCCAACCTCTGAGGTTACATCCGAGGAGGTAACTGGTTTCCCAGCATAACTTGCCAGGACTGAGTCTTCTAACCTTGACTTATGCATAGCAGCTATTGAGTGTACTTGAACGGATTCCATTGTTTCATTTGAACAGACAGACAAAGACAGAAAGACAGAGACAGCAAGACAGAGAGAATGAAGCATATACACATACATATTAATAACAAGAAAATATTACAAAAAGAAGCCTCCGAATTCTGTAAGCTAGAGGACATTCCAAGAGAAGATCCTGGTATCACTTCACCTCAGATATAACCACTTACCAAGCTGTTAGGGTCTGTGCCATGGCAGTAAGAGAGAAATCACTTTAAATAAAAAGGATGATTTGGCTTTTTGTTTTGTTTTGCTTTGGTCTTTTGTTACACAGTAGTTATCCTTGGTTTACAGCATATATTGTTTCACTCACAAAACAATTAAGTGAAACAATGCATCTTCTTGATACTTTATTTTTAGATATATTGATTTTATTTCACACGTAGATGTGTTTTGCCTGCATGTATATATGTGCACCACCTGGCTGAGTGTCTGGAGCCCTCAGAGTTCAGAAGAGGGCACCGGATCTCTGGAAGCAGAGTGATGGATGCAGCCATGGGGTGCTTGGAGTCCAAACCAGGGTCCTCTGCAAGAGCAACAAGTGCTCTTAGTCACTCGCCCTTCGCTCCAGCTCCAAGTTTTCTATTAGTTTTCAATCAATAAAAACCCAACAAATAAATCATAGACATAAGTAAACATAAGACTTTAAGTCTTCTAATGTGATGGGATGAGAAATGTGGCCTTTTGTAAAATAGAGTGGCCACTTGACTGTCTTTGTAAACACGTCCTAAGGTACTGGGTTTAGACTGTCAACTCTCACTTAAAGCTCTTAAAGTTCACTAAAATATGAAACTTCATTTTGAATACACATAGTAAAACTGATTTGTAAACAAAATCAAGTTACTTAGCGGTAGCAGCATTGCTAACACCTCCTGGTAACTTCCTTGGCTAACACATTCGGTAAACTGTTACCCATCTACCATGCTGAGGAGGCCTGAGATAGGTAGTAGATAGGTGATAGATAGGTAATAGATTGGTGATGGATAGGTAATACCTGGGGTCAGCTAAGGAGCCCTGCACAGCAATCAAAGCGTCCACTTAGATTTGTCCTCTTGCTGTTTACTCTTCTTTCCCCTTGCTTTCTCTTTATTGTCTTTCATTCTTCTAACATTAAAAAAGTTGAAATTAAAATATAACTACACCACCTCCCCCTTCCGCTGTCCTCTCCATTCCTGTGTTTTTATAGTTGTGATGTGGAGCATGGAAGGCTGTAACTAACGTAAATCCTTCCACTGGGTGGTCAAAACATTGTTCTTGTTTGTTTTGCTTGTCAGGAGGAATTTGCTTCAAAGAGTCCCACTACTTCCTTTGATATGTTTTGTGTCTTAATGAATTTGCAACCCTTCAAAGGAGTTAAATCCTTTTCCTTATGTTCTCCTGAAAGTGAAGTAAGGTGTGTGTGTGTGTGTGTGTGTGTGTGTGTGTGTGTGTGTGTGTGGTGTGTAGTGTGTGTGTGGTATGTGGTGTGTGTGTGGTATGTGGTGTGTGTGGTGTGTAGTGTGTGTGTGGTATGTGGTGTGTGTGGTGTGTAGTGTGCGTGTGGTATGTAGTGTGTGTGTGGTGTCTGGTGTGTGTGGTGTGTAGTGTGTGTGTGTGTGTGTGTGTGTGTGTGTGTGTAATGTTCTTCCACATTTGGCTCCTCTGCTGGGTAGATGTAACTTAACAGATGGGATCATTCTCAGGCTGGTAAATATCTCCTCAGTATACATTCTTGACTCTACCCAGTCCCGAACACCCTGACCTGAGCAGTGAGTGACTTGGCTAACCAAACCATGGCCTTCTCTGTGCATTTTTATTCTAGATACATTTCATCTTGCTCTTCAGTCGACAAGGGAAACTACGGCTGCAGAAATGGTACACCACGCTCCCTGACAAAGAGAGGAAGAAGATCACCAGAGAGATTATCCAGACCGTGCTCTCCCGTGGGCACAGGACAAGCAGCTTCATCGACTGGAAAGAGCTCAAACTTGTGTATAAAAGGTGTGAGTAACTTCACGAGAACCAACCTTCTCTTTGTGGCTTTGACTCGTTTTCTTTCTGACTATTTTAAATTGCCATGCCAATCTCAATGCTTTCCAAAAGCTTTGATGAGGAGAGTCTAAATATTTGCAACAGTGAGAGAGCTCATAAAGATTCCCCCATTGATTAAAACAGCTTCCACATGTTAGGACAGATTCTAAATACTTAAGCTGTACGCTGAATTTGCACACACATGCTCAGTGACATTTTGTGAGCACTGGTTACTACCCAGCATCATTTCAAGCCTGTATTTACAGCAGCAAGTGAATGAGAAAGATTATGTTCATGTTTATAAGAAGCATATTTATTTATTAAGTAATCAACATATATCAACAAATGCTATGGGGAAGCACAAGTGAATGTGGTAAAGGAACGAGAATGGATTGCTCATATTACAGTTGTCCATATTTGCAGATGGGTGAATTGAGGACACACAGTTTAATTACTTCCCAGCCACAGTAGTTGAATGGTAATCAGTAGAGCCAAGACTCAAGTCCAGAACTTTCTTCCTTTAAAGCCTATATTTCTTTTGATGCACCTGTTTGAAGTGGCAAGACCACACTAGTGAAGAATCTTAATTTATAAATGAGCGATCTGAGGCTTGAGAGGTAAAGGAAGGTTTTCACTGAAGACTCAGATAGCAGTTGCCTAAGTTAGGACCTGAACATAGCCAGCCTGACCCAATGTCCTCTATCAAACTACAGTTTCCAAAAGGGAAAATTCACACTGGAAATACAAAGAGAATGTTTGTAAAACCTAAAGGGAAAAGAGAGGTGACATGTACGCTCTGATAGTTAATGGAGTCCACTACTAGGAAATGCTTTGGCAAAGCAGCTTCCGGGCTTCCAATGACAATCCATGCTATGCCAGCCTACAACAATTTACAAACTGGAGAGAGGCTAGAACAAACACCCTGCTTACCATGGGCCAAAGGATACCATCCCTGTGAGTGTAGCTCTTCAAGGTAAAGTTCTGTTGAGAGCCTTTCATGATTAACCAAAATCACTAACCACTGCAGTGTTTTTATATGTCCTGGTTTATATTTGAGGAGTGTACAGTGTGCCATGAACAGTGATTTCATCCTCGTATGGGGAAGACTCTCTCTGGAGAGTAGGAGGCCCGCACACCCATTGGGAAAACCCACCTAAGTTTGTTGATTGTCTCATTCAATTTTGTTTTTCCTTATTTTTTCTTTCCAAGGTATGCTAGTTTATATTTTTGCTGTGCAATAGAAAATCAAGACAATGAGCTCTTGACACTAGAGATTGTACATCGTTATGTGGAGTTACTGGACAAATACTTTGGAAATGTAAGTGTCCTTCTGGCCCTTTAGAGTCATCTATCTTGGTTCTTGCTTCTGCTCATCTCTTGTGTTCCTATTCTCTTTCTCAATTGCATTGAACCAAGGATGGTGCTGGCCCACTTTGGTTCAGGATTACAGGATTCCTCCCTACCTGTATTTCTTAGTAAACAACAAATCTTTACCTTCAGATTGCCTTGTTTGAGGGAGCCTGAACTTAATTGTGGGTGATCTCCATCCCTTATTCCTCACTGGCTTTACCATTCCTTTTCTGTTTTGACATTTTGTTCCTTCTTTGGCATTGTTTAAAGTTACAATATTTTCAGTACACATGGGAAAAAACAACAACCACCAATCCAAACAAACAGAAGTTCCCCAGTCCTTTCACTTCACATTGATATTCCGAGATCTCATTTGCATTTATGTAAATAACAGATGCAGCCATCTCTCACAGCTGCTCCCATTTCCAGAGCCCATTCACTCTGCGCCAGCTTGCAGCAGGGCCCCATCTTAACGACTCCGAGGAGGCTGTACAGTTCCCACTGAGCCCTCCAGGCTGCCCTGCACCACTGACATTTCCCAAGCCTGACCTGCTTTGCCCTCTCTTCAGCACTGGATCCTTATCATCCTTTACATGTCTCCCCTTTTGCCCTGACGTTGCTCTCCGCTTTCCGCTGGGTCTTGTCCTGTGTATCTGGAGATCCCGCCTCGGTTTTCTTCTTCCCCTGAGCTCTCCCTCCTCTTCCTCCAAAGGCTGTGCCTCTCTTCCCACCTGCCTAGCGTGTCTGCATTCCTTCTCTCAGACTCTACTGCCAGCTGATTTCTGTTTTCCTCACCTGGTGAAGGTCTTGATCTTCGCTGAGCTTAGGACTAAGGGCTATGCCTGACTTTGGCAAACCTACTCTTTCTGGTGGATGGAGTTTGCTATGTCACTGAGCCCTTCAGCGAAAATGACAGGGTTCTTTTGCCTTTCTTTGCCTCTTACTAGAACCTGACTCTTCCATTTCAACTTAAAAACTCATCTCCCCCATTTCCATCTCACTAGTGCAGTGTATTTACTTAGGATTTTACTCTCAGCTTCTTACTTGGCCATTTCTGTCTCTAAGCTCTTTTCTGCTTTTCTGCTTGGCCTGCTGGTGAGCATCTTTTTTAAGCACAGCATTAGTTCCCATCACTTATCACTTTTCTCATCCCTCATGAAAAACTCCACACCCCCTAGGCTATAATTTAGCTTCCAAAGGGTGACAACAGGCCACTCCCCCACCCTTGCTGAGTTCATGCCTCTGTGCACCTGTCATCATCAGCATTCCAGGTTACACAACAGCTCTGAGCATCCCACCTGGTGCAAAAGTTACCCAAGCGCAAACCTGGCCCTTCCCTGAGGTCAAGACCTTTGACCTCCCTCACCCCTACTCCCCCACTGCTATAAATAACTCTGGGTCAGATTTTAGCAAATGTTCTGGAGACACCAATAAAATGCACAGCTGTAGGAAAGAAAACTACCAGATGTGGAAACAGCCCCTCCAGTAGTGTTCTTTGCTCATTCCCTTGGTCCGCGGATGTTTATCAAGTGATGTTGGGAGAATTTGCCTTCAGAACAATTTTTATCATTCTTTCTCTGAAACTGAACAGGTGACATTTTCATCATTGGTTGGGTTGGGTCTTACCTGCTTCCTCCCTTTTCTTATTTTCTTTTTCCTTTCTTTCTTTCTTCCTTCCTTCTCCCCTCCCTCCCTCCCTCCCTCCCTCCCTCCCTCCCTCCCTGTCTCCTTCCCTCCCTCCTTGCCTCTCTCTCTCTTTCTTTCTTTCTTTCAACAGGCTTCACCACAATAACCAGTATCGGACGGGTTTCTAAATGAACTTTCTCCCCTATTTTCCCTCTTCCTTTCCTAGTAAATGCTGTTATGAGAGCTAACACATGCGTTGCTTGGGAGATTTCAGTTATTGTCAATATTTAGGAATAATATGGAAGTGACGCCATGTTCTCTTTCTCTTGCCACCTCACTCAGTTTACTTTTTCTAAGTCATACATATAAATTAGCATGCTTTGAAACACAGGAATATTTAACTTCATGTTTCCTTTTATTCTAATGAATTTTGATATTTTTGGTGCTTTCCTTTAAGATGAGCTACACATGTGGCCTTTTGCAAGGGCCTGGAGGAGTTTCTTGAAGTCTGAGCTTTCCTATAACCCGTTTTCTCTTCCTCATTTCTGAACTCTGGTTTGACTTGCTCTGTTTGCGTGAAATAAACCAAATTTGATCATGTGACTTGAGGCTGAATTTTGGTCTCTCTGTCAGTGCCTAACTGAAACTCAACCAGGTATTTTCGGAGCACATCACTTCTTACGAGAATTTGAATGACCTCCGCCAGGATCTAGGTCCAGGGAAAGCTTAAAGAGGATCAGAGTAATTTCCTGCCTCTCAAGCATTAGTTATCCATCCAATTCTGGTATACTTCTAGAAGCCCTATCTCTGTCATAAATCAAAATTTTAATTCACTAAAATGTTCAATGAATCTCTCATTAAACTAAGAGCACTTCAGGGCACCAGGCCCAGTAGGTGTTCATTCTTACTAATTAACAGTGATGACCAAAGGCTTCTGGGCTGATCCTCAGTGATATCATCTCAGGAATAAGATTTCTTTTCAGGTTTCCCTTCCTCTCATGCTAATACCAAAGATTTCTTTGAATTCTGCCCTTTGATTCTTCAAGGGGAAACTTATAGCTTGAAAATACTGTATTTTGAAGACAGATTTTTTTAAAAATTCAAAATCTCTGGTTACTAATTTGAGTGCTGCATCTCACCGTACTTTTCAATTCTAAGGAGATTATCAAGGATTGTGTAGTTAATCTTTCAATCTTCAGTAAGTAGCATTAACCCCAATTTACAGATACTGAGAAGCAGTGCTTTGGGGTCTCTTAGAAGATAAGGGATTTAGACAGCTGCTGTGTTTCCATTCTACATTGCAGCATGGATTTTGATTGATGCATTCTGAGTGTGTGAATGCTGCTGTTCCAGGAAACTTTTGCATTTGACCGAGGGAATTTTTCTGTTGTAAGAGGAGGAACATTAAATGTCTTGATCCTGGAGTCTGCTCACATGGTGACCAGACCCAAGATCTCAGACCCACCATCTCTCTCCATTTTACTGATGAGAATACAACACTAAAAAGGTAGTAAAAATATTTTCTTTGCTAAATTCATGGGTGTCTGTGAGGGTCAAATACAGGTAGCAAACATGTATAAACAATTGGTTGCTACTTTTATATTGTTTTTCATGTAGCTCTGTAGTCGTTCTTATTATCTGAAACATTTCCTTGGTGTAACCTGAAACTTCTTGTATTTACTTTAAAACAGAGGTCCAGGGCAGATGCTTCTTAGACTCCATTCGAAGGGATTTAGTTGCTGAAATGTCAGAAACATTATCGCAGTAGTATGTATTCGCTGTAAGAGAAGAGCTGTGAAACACACTATAGAACACACAAACAATGAGGAAATGGAAGATGACATGAAATGGTCATTTTTCTGCTGTTTATAAGCTGTGTGCCAGAATCTACATACCTGTGGGCAGGTCAGATTAAGGTTTGTTTATTGCATGGACTGTGAAGGAAGATGCTGCAATATATAACTCTATGGTCTCTGAGCATCAAAAGCGTAGTTCTCGTATGCTGGGAATTAAAGGAATAGCAGAAAGAACTGGAATCTTCCCAGTTCTACAGGTTGCCACCCCTTCTTATGTTTAGATGGAGGTGGACTGTAGGGTAGTACTTTGGAGTTGTTATGTGTGAAGTACTTGCTCACTCACAACATTCTCCATAGTTGTATGTATCTGATTCTGCATGCCCCCTTACCTTACTCCCTGAAACTAGATGCAGGAAAGTCATTGCCTCAGGCCTGTTGAAAGAGCCCTGGGGTCTGGGGACAGTTGACTGCTCAGAAGAGGCCACAAAAAATTCTTAGTGAATTTGTAGGGATGTTTGTGAGGTCTACTCATAGGACTCCGTTGATGCTTTGTCCTAATGAGGCTCCTGTCTGTCTTGGATTTCTAGTCTATACCAGCCTTGAATGCTGAGGTCTCTTTGCTCTTTGCTCCTGATTTTTACCTCTCCTGACCTCTGGTAACTGGTTCTTCTGGTCCTTTCTTTCTTGTGCATGGATGTCTAATTTTTTTCTTTTTAGATTTATTGTTCAAAATTACAAATATAAATTTTTCATACCCTTCTATACACATAGTCTTTTGAGCTTAAACAAATGGATTGTAGTATGCATATTCTTCTATAACCTTACTATTCTCCTTACAAGCCTGTTAGAGATTTTTCCCACATCCTTCCATGTAAAACTACCCTATTCTTTCCAAATTGTAGATAGAAATCCTATGCTATCATAGAGATGTACATACATTGTTTCAACAGTTTCCTATGAGTGGACTTCATATTGTTCCTAATTGTTCTTATAAATGAGGCCTATAATGATTGCTGCTTATATCTTATTAGTATATCATGGGGCTAAACCCCTTATGGAACTGTTGAGTCCAGAAATTAAAAATATAACTATTTGTTGTTAGGCATTATATTATTATTATTATGTAGGCGTGTGTGTGTGTGTGTGTGTGTGTGTGTATGTGTGTGTGTGTGTGTGTGTATGTGTGTGTAGCATTTTTTTTGGAGTTCCTTTTATCTTTCTTTACATGGGTTCTGCATGGAGTCCAGGTTGTCAGTGTTGTTGGTATCCACCAGAGAAGACTGCTGATAGTCAGTCTTTGTTAGCTGGCTTGTGACCATACTGGGTTTTTGGGATCCCAGTGTGGCACCAAGCCTTTCTCAGGCTGAGATTTTAAGCACAAAAACCACGTCCTGGGTTGACACACTTCAGTTAACAAGAACAATTAGCCAGGAATGGAACTCTAGAAGCCAAAAACCAAGGTTCATACATTTAGAGGCTTTCCTAGAACTTTCTTGCTTTATCTATGAATTGTTTATTATTTTGTTGTTTGTTTGGTTTTTTTTTTTTTTTTTTTTTTTTTTTTTTTTTTTTTTGAGCTCTGGCTATCCTAGAACTCATTATGTAGAATAGGCTGGCCTCAAACTCACAGATATCCACCTGCCTCTCCCTTCTGAGTACTGGGATTAATAGTATATGCACCTTGTACCTGGCCTTTTTATTTGTTTTTATATTGTGCTTATGTTAGGTGGGGATTTTCAAGAATTCTTTATGAACTGAGAATTCTATTGTCAGTAGCAGAACAAAAGGAAGGGATTTGGAGAAGCTGTTCAATTCTTGCTGGCATGTGCCAGGGTAAGAGCATGAAAGAACCTAGTGAGCTGGAGGCTTGTGTGACTGCGGCAGGTGTAAAAGGCAAGCACAGGAAAGCAGAGATGTGTTGTGGGGGTTAGGGTTGGGTGGTGAAATCCTGTCACACTAGGGAATTAAAATCTATCTTGAAACCTAGACCTTACACAAAGAGGAACGAGAATAGCATCTTAGCAAAGTGTGGCTGACTATGGTCTTGAATGGGCAAACAGATTACCTAAGAATCATTGCTGTAGACCCAATGGGAGGGATTATAGGCCCGAGCATCTGTGAAGTGGAGGGATGGGAGACTAGTGCTCTATTTAGATGGTAGAATCAATAGAACTTGTAACCAAGGCAACAGATCAGGACCAAGGGAAAAAGAGGTATCTTAATTAGGATTACTATTGCTGTGCTGAGACATCATGACCAAAAAAAAAAAAAAAAAATGGTGAGGCAAAGGGTTTATTCAGCTTATGCTTCCACATCACAGTTCATCATTAAAGGGAGTCAGGGAGGAACTCAAACAGAGCAGGGACCTGGAGACAGGAGTGTTGGAGGGGAGCTTCTCATGGCTTGCTCAGTCTACTTTCTACTTACGTTTCTACTTTCTTATAGAACATAGGATCACCACCCTAGGTATGGTACCACCCATAATGGGCTGGGCCTTTCCCCATCAATCACTAATTAAGGAAATGCCCTAAAGCCCAATGCATTTAGCCCAGTCTTATGAAGGAATTTTCTCAATTGAGTATCCGTTTTCTCTGATGACTGTGTCTAGTTAACATAAAACTAGACAGTACAAAGCTAATGAGTTGGGGTGGTGGGGGGAATGAGTGAACTCTCATATGAATTAGGTAAAATATATGAAAGAAGCTACTAAGCAAAATAGGGGCTAAAAAATGAAAAAATATGTTTGAGATCACGGTTAAGAGCACGACTGCTTTTCCAGAGGGCTTGGGTTCAGTTCCCATCATCCACATGGCAGCTAACAACTGTCTGTAACTCCAACATCTGATGCCCTCACAGACAAAACACCAGTGCATATAAAATAAAAATAAATAAATCATTAAAAAATGAATATGTTTGAGGTCAGTTTGGGACATAGTGATGTGGAAATAAGAATGCCCAAGTAGACAGACATGTGTAGTCAGCGGGTGAAAAGATGGAGCAAATGGGGATTGGTCTGGCTTGCTGCACCATTTGCGGGCTAGAGCAGCTATGAAGTGGAGGGATGAGAAGTGTTCTCTCTAGATGTTAGGGCCAATAGGGGTTGGTGACCAGAGAGAGGGCAGAACCAATGGGTGGGTGAATGAGAGAAAGGAGCTCTCCCTGAGAGAGCCAGTGAGGTTGTCTAGAAGACAATGTGTATTGCAAAGAGAAGGAGCCATGCTGAAGAATGTCATCATTTGAGAATATGAATGCCCCCTATGAAAGCCACATGTGATGGGCACATTAGCAGTTCTGTAAACACTTCTTCAAAAAAGCATCTTTTGAAATTATATATATATATATATATATATATATATATATATAATTTCAAAAATAAATCCAAAAATAAATGAATATATATGTATATATATTCATTTATTTTGCTGGAGGGTTGCATGTTTGCTAGGGCACATATGTAGAGGTCAGAGAACAGCCTGTGGGACTAGGTTCTCTCCTTCTACCCTATGGGTCTTGGTGATCGAACTCCAGTTCCAGGGCTTGGCAGCAAGTACTTTTATCCCTTGAGCTTTTTGGCCAGCTCTGTTGGTACTCACCGCCCAAATACAAGTTAGTGGGGAGGAGTAGAACAAAGTCATCCACAAGGTCTAAGAAGGAATCATCAGTCACAGGAGGCCCACAGTCATGAAATGGTGTCAAGGGAGAAGAAATTTCCAAAACAAACAAACAAACAAACAAACAAATAACAAAACAAAACCAGAATGACAGAATGACAAGGGTTGTTACTGAGGTGAGCTTGAGAGAGGATGGGGGAGTTCTAGCTGGATGGCTTAAAGAAAGCAACTTCATTTGGGCAAATAGGGTCTGGATGCAAAAGGAGTCAATTTTCAGTGAGCTGTGGAGTAAGCTCTGAGGAAGCCAGCAAAAACAGCACTCCAGGGTTGAAGCATTTAGATTATGGGGATAGCTTTGCCACTTGCTTCGTTTCCATACTGAGACCGGTCAGTCTCTCTGTTCATCTTTGACCCCAGGTAATGTGCTGTTCCTTTCACTAGAGCCCTCAGTGTCACGTGGGAGTCTGCTAGCAGTACAGGTGTTCCGACTGGACCCAGACCTACTGACCCAGAGGTCCAGAGGCTTGGCCCACAGGAAGAATTTTCAGAAGGTTTAACAGGAGACTCTGATATGCTCAAAAATTTGCAACTCACTGGCCTAATAGCCAAGATCTTTAAACCTGACTGCAGGAGAATTGAGGCTCTGTTCTTCTACTTCCAAAAGCAACAGGGACCCAGCTTCTGCTTGTGCCTGAGGACAGAGGTGCCTAGAAGCCCCATTCCCCCTTGGAGACTCATATGTTCTGTTACAATCCAAAACATATTAGTGATTTTCCCATGGTGGTGATTAAATACTATGACCAAAATCAACTTATCGAGGTGAGCTTATTCGGCTTACAGATCCAAAGGAGGGGTCCATAATGCCAGGACAAGTAGGCTAGCAGATGATAGGAACAGGGAAGTCACAGCTCAGCCACACACAGGAAGAAGAGATGTAGAAGAGTGTGAACTGGAAGAGGGGTGAATCTATCAACCCTCAAAGTCTGCCCCCCACACCTCCTTTTATCAAGGCTGAAGGATCTACAATCTCCTCAGGCACCACCAGCAGGTGACCAAGTGTTCAAATACTTGAGCCTATGGGGGCATTTCTCTTTCAAACCACCACAGACCGTATTATCTAAAGACATGCTCTGCTTCAATAGGATTTGGTTTTTTACCTTCTCCTTCTACCTTTCTGTTCTTAAAATGCCATGTGGTATATTATGTTTGGCTACCACTTGAATGACAATGTGGCAAAAACTGCAGACAGTGGCAGATGCTTTCCTGCTTCTACTCCAAAGTTATCAAAACATTTATTGTTTTTTTTTTTTTCCTTACCAGGTCTGTGAGCTGGATATTATCTTTAATTTTGAAAAGGCGTATTTTATCCTGGATGAATTTATAATAGGTGGAGAAATTCAGGAAACATCCAAGAAAACAGCAGTCAAAGCCATTGAAGACTCTGATATGTTACAGGAGGTCAGTATGGTTTCCTATGCATGGGGAAGATGATGTTGATTCTAGCACTAACTATAATATAGCTACTACTCTGAATACTGCACCTACAGGCTGTGCTGGGCATAGCTTCTACTTTAAACAATTTACATGTATTCGCTTATTCAATTCTTCCAGCATTTCTAACTAGGTGTTAGCATGTTCAAGAGGTGAAATGTCCTGCTCATTTTCATAGTTAAGAAATATGAAATAGCGCATTGGACCCTTGCAGTTCAGACCCGAGTCTTTGCCTGTTCTGTTTGGCTGAGCTTTGAGGTTTGAAAATATCCTACCTCTGAGGGATATCAAGTGCTTGGTGCTAATCTTTGCAAATGTAATTTTATGAGATGTATAAAAAGACTTTCATTAAAATATTTGCTCTGCCCTGGGAAGGGAGAACAGCAATGCGTAGTTATTTCATTTGCTAGGAATATTAGAGCTATATTATCGAAGATGGCATTTGTCATTTTAATTGAAGTTTCCTACCTCTTGGGAAGGCCTTAGGTCTATGTGCATTTGTTTGCATGAATAAATCAGGAACTCTCATGGCTGGATTGCTGAGGTATAAATGGGTCCTGAAACCTGTGCTTGGCGCTACTCCTGAATCTGATGGCGTCATATAAGATCCTGGGACTTTTCTTTTTTAGAAGCATCCCAGATGTGAATCAGACACAATAGGGAAATATAACCTGCATTAACTCCTTCAAGCACACTGAAAAAGAGCACTGTGTTCTCTAACCTTTACCTTCTAAAATGAGGTAGCTCTGAGCAATCCTAAACTAAGCATGTGTCTGGGTGCTTAGATTCTCCAGGTCTCCCAGATTGTCAGTGGGTCTTCCTTCCTTACCTCTCTTTACCCCCCCCCCCTGCTGCCCTCACTCTCTGCTCTGTGTGTGTGTGTGTGTGTGTGTGTCTGTGTGTGTGTGTTCGTCTTTTTGGACAGTCTTAGGATGCAACCCAGGCTGGCTTTAAACTCACTATTCTCCTGTCTTTACTTCCCAAGTGCTGGGATGACAGGCATGTACCACACCTGGCCTCAGTGGGTCTTTCCATCTTCCTGTTTTCATAACAGCAGGTCAAGAGTCAAGAGGATTTCAAGAATTGTAAAGTACCTATTTAAAATTGGTACTAAAGCCATTCTTCCTGCTATTTGGAAATAAGAGACTGATTAAGTTAATAAGACATTAGGCATGATTTCCCAGCAACTGTCTTGGCAGTACTTTGAGCTGATTTCTTACTTCTGCCCATGGAGGGACTCCATCCTCAGGTGAGTGGACATGAAGAAAGACAAGGGTGGGTTTCCATGAGCAGCTCTGTGTGCCTGTTAGGCCAATGCATTCATTGCTAGAGGTGTTATCCTCTTGAAGAAACACATTAAGCCTCTTTGAGTCTCACTTAACTCTTTACAAATGTCACAAACGGGGAATTTATGAGGCACTGAGGACATCAGTGCTTGGAAATTCCATAAAAGTATGTATACCAAAATATTCTGGGATGGAGAAGCAGGGAGTAGGAAGTGGGGGCTTTTCCTAAGTTTCTCCTCTTGGTCTTTTAAGACAGAAACTTCTTAGAGGAGAGGCAGACTTTTGCACAGGCTCTTTGGCACTTTAGTAATTACAGCATGCTGAATCAAAGCCAAGACACACCTGTGTGATTTCCAAGTCCCCCCAGCTGCAGGGAACAGGCTTTTAAGAGCTTTTGGTGAATCAGTGTTCCTAGTTTCCTTTAAATCTTGAAATCAGGCATTTCAAGAAGTGAGCCCTGTCACAGTAAAGCACTAATTGGTTGGTGCCTGTTCCTGGTGACTGAGTGGACAGTGTGAATGGGTATCATTAGATGCCCGGTGTTAAACCTTGTACCCCAGTGAGCAGGCAAGGCTGTGACTCTCTTTAAATGACACCTGTTGAATAACCAGGGCCTGCCAAATGAGAAAAAGTGTTGCTCATGTCCTCATGGGCTCGGGTAACCCCCCTCCGCCCTGCCCCCGAAATGATGTCAGTGAGCTTGTTGAGAAGTTGACTTTGCATGTCTGGTGTGCTTCAGAAAGTATAGGATGTGTAGGAGAAAATATTCAAATTGCATATAGGAGGATTGCCCCATTTATTTCCTGACCTTCAGCTCTTACATATTTGTAGGTACTAGAAGCTGAGGAAGCCCCCTATAACATTGTCTACTTTTAGAACAACTAAAAAGGATGAAATAGCTCTTTGGACTTTCTCCAAAATTACACCTAATAAAAGTTTCTTGGGCCAGGGGAGAAAAACACAAGTTGTTTCCATGCATTTGATAAGAGGATCCATAGTCTCAAAGTACCAGATGCTCAGATCTTAATTTGAGTGTGACCAGCTTAGATGTTGATAATTCAGAAAGTCTAAAGGACTGGGGATGACTTGTGGGAGGGGGTAACAGCAATGGGGGTGATGTCGTGAAGTTAGAAGCATGGAGACCAAAGAGTAGAAGTTGTAGTTCTCAAGGTTACCAAGTGGGGGCAGCCATAAGTGAATGATCTTCATAGACAATAGCCTGGCAGGAAGGGAAGGTCAGAAGGAATCAAGCCAGAGGCCAACTCACACATACACGAGGATGCATGAGCATACTTGGTGCATCCCAGTACTTTTAACCTTCAGAACATAAACTAAAACCACAGCGCAGTAGAAAAGGGCTGTATCTTAAACCACAGTGCAGTAGAAAGGGGCTGTATCTTAGTAGAGAATGCATACTACAAAGGTGTGAGCGCCTCCAGTTGGGTCCCAAGATAAAACTCTAGTCTGATTCTTGTAAATGCAAGGGAAGACAAAGATTTAGGACTTAGACCATTTAAAGTCAGTTCCAACCCTTTTTAGTGGCAATTTCAAGAAATCACTTCTTTATGCCTTCGGAGTGATAGGCCTCAGAGAGGGCAGGTAGGGCAGCCCCACAGTCACCCCATGCTAATACAGGGCAGATAACTAGAACCATGTGGCTCCTTGAGGTTGTGAAACATTCACTTTATATCCTTGACCATCTCATGCTTCTTCAAGGCTGCAATGTGTCTATATAGTCAACTCATTTTAGTCAAATGAGCAAAAAAAAGCAAAGACTATAGATATAGCACACGAGAGTCAAACAAACAGAATATGCTGTTCTAGATTTTATTTTGTCACCTTTTCAATATTGATAATGTGCTGTCATCTCTTACTGTAAATTTTAGACTTAATTTGTTTAATGGGGATAAATACTGCAAAACCCACATAGGCTGTGGGCCAGTGTTGTTTCCCCAGTCAAGTTAAAAGATAAGGATGGAATATTTAAGAGGAGATTCAGGGCATATGTCCTTGGATATAAGCATCTTTGGACTAGTGCTCAGTTAAGAGGCCGACAAGCATTTCAGCAGTGGTACACTAAACTAAAGAGACAGGGGGAGGAGTTAGAAAGCTGACTTCTCATTTGGTTTTCTTCTAGAGCAGAAGTTTTCAACCTTCCCAATGCTGCAGCTCTTTAATCCCTTTAATACAGTTTTTGGTGTAGGGTGACCCCAAATTCCGTTGCTACTTCATAACTGTACTTTTGCTGCTGTTATGAATTATAATGTAAATATCTGATATGCATGATATCTCATATGTGACCCCCCCAGTTTGAGCTGTTCTGGACAATCTTGTTGGCCAATACCTTTGATCCCTTTGGCCCATGCTGACAGTCTTTCCTAGGATGTTGAATGGTGGTACACATTTTGGGGTGCATAATTAAATGCTGATTGCTATGTAAGTTGACAGTGACTCATAGTGACTTTAAATATTGCCTAAGGATAACTTGCTGCCCCCCCCAAGAGCTCTCTTACTGATGTAACCTGGGTCATTATTTTTCATAAATATGTATCTGTTCAGTAGGAGGGAGTTTGTAATACCACTGTGGAATTCTACCTGTCATCAAACACTTAAAAAGAACAGATAAAGACAGAAAACTCAATTTTGGGGGCTTAGTAGCAAGCTTGATGACTAAAAGAGCGTCTGGATGCTTTGGAGACATGTTCTTCCAAAAGGCATGGCAGAAATCTTCCAGAATCGTGGAATAGTTTTTCCTTCTGACTGGGCTGTAGTCTTAATGAAAAGGTTCTCCTAAGTTCTGAAAACAATGCATATATTACACATGGATACTTGGGGCTTTTATAGCACATGTGCCTGCATGTGGTTCTCAGCCCATTTAGATGCTTTAAATCAACATTCCTGTCTCCACAGTTGTTGCTGTAATATCTCAAACATCCACTTCCGGATCAAGCTTAGCCTTCTCTCGGCTGAAAGTGACATATTTACAGCCATGTGGGCATGTAGACAAATGATATTCAAACGTATAGAATGCAAAGATTTATGTCTATATATGATTTTGCATTTTTTCAGTATTGCAAAAAAAAAAATAAACCAACAGAATGAAAAACAAATCGTAATCTGCAACACATACGGTTTGCAGGGAAGATTGTTCTAAGTCATTGTTCTCTTTCAGACAATGGAAGAATACATGAACAAGCCCACATTTTAAGTGTGCAGTCTACTTGAAGATTCTGAGTGCTTCGTGTTGTGAATCTACAAATAAGCAACTCTTTGCTTCCAGTCTCCACACAGCTTCTGGCACCATGCCAAAAAAATGTAAAGGGATCCCATGTTAGCTAGCAAAACTTAAAAGTTAGCATGATGTATTTATGTTACTACATATGTGTATTATACTGTGTATGAGTACTCATTGCTGCTCTAATTTGTTTGAAATAATTGCTACAGACTGACTAGTTGCTTGTAGTGTTTTAAGTCCTTGTGGTATTTTTAAGGTAACTTCAAATACAATATAATGATTTTTGTTGCCATTTGATCTTATACCTGTAGACTGAAAACTGCTTTGTGCTAACACACAATTTTGAATGTAAAGTATATTTTATATAATGAACGTCTTTCCTAAGTGTTTTTAAGAGGTACATAAATTCAAATTTATGTTAGTAGTTAAGATTTCATATGTGACATTTTAAATATGTTCAATACTACTATAATTCCAGGTTAGAAACAGTGTATCTGACTTTAATGTCTTGAATTCAACTTATTTTTTTTTTCAAAATTGGGATAGAACTTAAGTGATTTTGCTGTCTTAGAAGGTGCTAGATTGAGTTTTTTTTTTTTACTTATTTTCAATAGAATATAAGGGACATTTCAATAAGGTTATATTTTCTATAAGCTATATATTTATTAAGGTTCCAGAAGATCTGGAGATAAAATGTAACAGCATCTCCTACTATTAACAAAGTGCTAAGAAAGGAACAGCCAGAGCAATAATTGTGATCTCTACTACTATTGTACATCTCATGTTCCAATTAATCCTTATGATTGAGAGACTTCTTCAGAGTGGAATGTACTAGGCTTCCTTAGGACATGTATTTTCATGGTGCCCTTTATGGGAGGCGATTCTATTCCTTTTCCCTCCTCCTCCCAGGAAAATATTGTCTGTTGACCATTATCTTTGTGGCTGTGTCACCTTCAAGCTTCCAAAGCCGAAGTCCTGCATAGTCAGGCTCTGAGTGTGCTCAGACACGAAGTAGGAAGTTGCTTGTAGCATTTGTTCTTGGTGCCCGTGTCTGGAGTTTCTTGTGCACATTTTCAGTGTTAGTGTCAAGGTCTGATGACATTTGTATCAGAGTTTTTCCTGAGACGATAATGAGTTTGATTTTGGATTCGTTGGACCATCCCAAAAGGTGGCCCCTTAGAGAATGTGATGGTTTGTTGTCTTCAGTTCATCTCATCAGGCTTATTTATGGGATGATGGCAAAACCAGAGTGGAAGAACAGTCAGACACAAAGACCCATTCCTCAACATAACCATATATTTAAAGGCAATACGCTAGTTTGCATGTGAGGTAATAACTGGGCTTTTAATAGCTGATGTGTCTTCAAATTAACAATGACATTATGGTGACCAGTTGATGTTTGCCCTTCATGAACAACTTTGTTGAGACAGTCTTCAGTTTTGTTCACTAACTTAAAAAAAAAATGATAAGAATTTTATTTGTTTTTCAAACATTCTGTGAAATTGAACTTCCTATAATTTCAGAGGTTTTCTGGTTCCTTCTCATTGCTTTTGGATCAAGGTATCTATTGAGCCTCATTAAATATACTGCCTATATTCTAGATAATAGCATATTTGACACTGTCTAGCTTATACTAGGATTCTTCCTGTCATTGTACACATAGAAAGTCATATTTATGTGACATACTGTGGTAAATTCTAAAGATTTGAGGAACAGCTCACATGAGCTTCAGTGAAAAATCATTATGTATATTTTTTATTATTATAAAATTCTAAGTACCAAGTGAAAGGAAAAATAGTACTGAATTTGTATAAAACTCCCAAATAAAATGTTAAAAAAAGTTGATGAACTTGAGGAACTTGAGTATGCTTTCATGACTTTATATGCTCTCTCTCTCTCTCTCTCTCTCTCTATATATATATATATATATATATATATATATATATACACATACACACACAAATACATATATACACACACACACACACACACACACACACATATATATATGTAACATTTTAATTCTTGAAATTCTAACTTTGATTTCTGGTAAAATTTGTTTAGAGTTACACCCAGCAGTGGTAGCACACGCCTTTAATCCCAGCCCTTGGGAGGCAGAGACACATAGATCTCTGAGTTCAAGGCCAGCCTGCTCTACATAGTGAGTTTGCGAACAGCCAGGGCTACACAGAGAAACCCTGTCTTGAGAAAGGAACAAAAAAAACAAAACACACACACACACACACACACACACACACACACACTCACTCACTCTCAACGACAACTACCAAAAAGAAAACAAAAAGCAAAAAGCATTTCTTGCTATTTAGCAATAAGGAGAAACTCACAAGGCAGAGGTTCCTGGGAGAAGAATGGCTCGATCTTTTCCCCCTCCTGTTTTAGCATTCCCTAGGTGTGATTGAAAGACCCACAGAGCATGGACCTTCACGCTCCCACTCAGGAAAGGCGATACCTCAAATCACTTACGGGAAGCAGTCTTAATGCAAAAACATGAGGACTTTTAATTCCAAGTGCACTGGGGTCCACAGTCATACATCACGCAGGGGTAGAGGACTGAGGACCTCGAGGGCAGAATTGAGACAGTTTTTATAGGGTTTACAACAAAGCCCACACATAGGTCACTGGGGCGGGGTTTCACAAGCAGTTTATGAAGTCAGGTAAGTGGTTAGTTAGTTCATTTTCTGTTATCTTACTAGGCCAGGATTACTACTCAAGGGTGTCTGTTGTAAGCAGCAAGGAGTATGACCTTGTCTATTTACTGGCAGAGGACAGGGTCTGGAATTTGAGGTTTTTTAGGGCTTTTTAGATAGTATTTTTAAACTTCTAGCTTCCTGGGGTCATTGGAGAGTTAGGCTGCATTTTTCATCCTTACATGATAACCCAGTTTCTTTACTGACAGCTGAGGAAGCAATCAACCTTTCATTACTTCCATTAACAATTGTCAAAACTTTTTTTTGGGGGGGGAGGGGGATAAAGTTAGTGAATTTTCTCATCCCAAGTCTCTCAAATAGCAGGAAGGCTTTCAGCAAATACATTGTGCTTCGAAACCCATAGTTCTTCCAAGATGTTTATTATCAAACCTGCAAAATATCATTGATGGCCTGCATGGAATTTCACTTCTCTGAAATCTCATCAATAAACACATTGATAAATGTTAGTGTGCTTTTTCATATAATCTCTGCAGTTTTTGATATAATACATTCAGATGTTCTGGGACCTATAAAGCCAGACAAATACAAGTTTCCAACCATGGTAAATTACTTTGTTTCAACCCTTTTTGTGACTTGTGACAAACGGTTGTTAAAACTGTCCCTAGATGATGTGCCTTAATATTGGACAGCAGTAATCTGTTTTGTCACAGGTAAAACCAGAAGCATCTAGAGACATCTAGGGATTTATTAAAGTCGCCCCCTTCCCACTTTTCCATCCCTTTCCCCTTCCTCTCTCCCTACTCTTCTGCTCTCCTTCACACCTTTGTCCCCTCTCCTCCTCCTTCTTTCCCCCCACTTAATGCCTTCTTCCCTCTACTTCTTCCTGCCTCCCCCCCTTTCTCCTGCTTGCTCTGTCATATTTATCTATCTATTGCTGTGAGAAAACACCATAACCAAAAGCACCTTGGGGAAGAATGGGTTTATTTCCGCTTATGATTTATAGACTATCATGAAGGGGAGTCAGGACAGGAAACTGGAGGCAGGAACTGAAGCAGAGACCACATAGGGATGCTGCTTACTGGCTTGCCCCCCAATGCTTCACCTTACTTGCTTATACTACACAGGACCACCTGCCCAGGGTGGCACGGCACTCAGTGGGCTGAACCCTCCCACATTAATTATCAACTAAGAAAATGCTGCACAGCATTGTACACAGGCTGATCTGATGGTGATCATTTCTTAATTGAGGCTCCCTCAATATAGGCAACTCAAGTTTGTGTCAAGTTGACAAAGAACTAACCAGCACACTCATGTCATTTTTTTCCTTACACATGACCTCATTGTGTAGCCCAAGCTGTCCTCTAGCACGTGATACTCCTGCCCCTGCCACCTAACTGCTGAGGTTACAGACATATGACATCACACCTGCCTTACATTCACATTTCGGTGTACTACTTGGCGTGTAATTCAAGCCTCCAGATAGACTTTGGATAAATTCTCCATGAATGAATCTACATGCTTACTGAATCTTAAGGTCCTCTTGAATATGGGCCATCGGTCCATAGAGTATGCACTTCCCATCATGCCTTCAGTTCTAGGTCTTCTTTTACTGTTTTGCTTTCTAGTGTGTTTTGTAACATCATCAGATAATGTTCAAACATTTCTTTTGAGAGCATCTCTCTCTTAAATAAGAAGAGTCAATTAATTTGAGATACATTCGAGTATGATGCCATCGTATTCTTCATTGAAGTGACACTGGGTATGGCAACCACAGTCCAGGGCAGGCCTCATGCTTAGGAGTAGTTGGCCAGCATAAATCAGGCTACATGACATGTAGTGGAATTTCTCTCTTTCTCTCTCTCTGTGAGAGAAGCAACATAAAGTTGGATGAGTAGGGAGGAGTGTAGATCTGGGAGGTGCTGGGTGGGGCAAAGAGAAGAATATGACAAATATAATGTATGCAATTCTCAAATAATAAATTATTGAAAAGCAAAAAAATAAAGCAAAAGTTAGGTCATTTACGTTAATATGAAATCAAAATGAGAAGTGAGAGTGTGATAGATTTAATGCAGTTTAAGTTTGAATGTTTGAAATATTAATTGTGGTTAAATAAAATGAACTTCCCTAAAGGTCTCAAACTATAAATATTAGTCTTAATTATGTGGGATTAAATACATTTTGGGAGAATTTAACTTCTATAATGAGTTGACTTAATAAAATTATATTTTCCCACTATTAGAAATGAGCATTTTGAGGGAAAAAAAAATGCTCAAAGGCATTTTGTCTGGTCAATTTTTGAGTACTTGTAAGATTAAAGGCTAAGACTAAAATGATGGAGAAATGAATAAGCCAAAATAGGTTAATAAGAAAAATATCTAAAATCAGTTACATGTTCTACATGTAAGACAGTAATCACATGTAATGATAATGTCACCAAAC